ATTGAAGAGAATAATAATGCTAATGAAATTCATAATGTGGATCACTGGTTACAAATGGTAGAAAATTGGATTAAAATATTGGATACTGAGAATCATTTGGATAATAGTGAAGATATTGATAAAGAGCTACTTAAGTTTAAATTGGCTGGTCATGCTATTCATCTAGCAGATAATTCGTTAGCAAATTGGGATTTATTAATTTTATTCAATGATACATTAGAAACTCTAATTTATCTTGATTCTTTAACTAATTATAACTAGTTATCTAATTGTAAACAGTTTATTGAGTATAAAAATAAATAAAAAGTCAATTTGTTATAATGAAATAAATTTTCTATTGATACTTATTAGTTTATTAATAATTTATTATATAAGTATTTAAATGATCTATTTCACAGGTCATTTAGCATTTAGAGTAACCCAATAACCCGTGACAAGTCATTGAAGTCATTTGGATTATCAAAGGTCACTTGCTATCACTGTTGTTAAATATTTTACTTAATGTATTTTGAAATTCCTTGTACTGATACTACCATTATAAAAAAATTGGTAGCAATGTAAACATCTTTCATTTGCTTGAATAAAGCATTCAATGTGATAGCTGTAATCATATAATAAAATTTTACCTGGTATTTCTGATGATATGATACATGAATCCCTATCACAAAATCTGTCAAATCTGAGATGGTAAGATGAATTTTAACCCATCAAAAGAACTTTCTGATCTACTACTTTACCAAGTGTTGGCAGATTAAACTGCTAATACTTCTTTACCTTCTTTTTATTGTATGTCTATAATTGTTTCAAATATAATAAAATAAATCCAGAAGAAAAGTAGCAGTTTTTTTCCTAAAAATTCTAATTGCTTTACTATATAAATAATATTATGATTATTGGAAAATACTTCAGTAAAAAATTTTTGCTGCATATTTGATCAATGACTTTTGCCTGATAGAAAATTTGCTAAGCAGTATTAAAACTATTTATTTAATAATATATAGAATTGTAAAAATTTTTCACATAATAATCATTAAAATATGCAAAGAAATTTTGAAAGTTTTTACTAAAGGGTGTTTAATAAGTTGCTAGTAAAAAATATTACTAAGAAATGCTAGTAGTAATTTATTATAATTTTTACAGTAGTATTGATAAAAGATTATCTATATACATAATATTACTTATTCATATACTTCTCAAGACCTACTACAAAAATTATTGGATAAAAATCTAAAACTAATAGAATAATTTTGTCTAAAAAATTAATAATTGTGCGTGTTTTAGGATCTTTATAATTATAAAAAAGATTTTGAACAGATTCTTTAACTAAAAACCAATCCTTAAATGAAAGTTCTAAAAAAAAATTAATTCAATATGGCTTAGGTTTTTAGCAAGAATTTTGCAAGATCTAAATATTAAATGATACATTTTTCAAAAAAAATCATAATTAATAAGAAATACTGCCTTTTAACTATTTAATGATACATGCAAAGAACCAATAATAGGAATAATATTAAGAACTTATGGTAGTAAATTGTTCTTCATTAATCATACAGTATACAATAGCATAATGGTAATACTATATAAAATTAATTTTACTACGCTACAAATATTAATGAATGATCAACATTATTAATATCATTAGTATTTTAACTTAATTAATATTTTTATTTTATTTATTATATTCATATATTATATTATTATTATTTATTATATTATTATCATCATTAAATTATAATTTATTTTTATATTTATCTTATCATTATAAACTAGTTTAAATAGATAGCAATTTTTTATAATTGTATTCTTGTATAAATAGAATAGAAATTTATCCTTACAAAAGGATAGAAATAACAGTGTAAAACTCAATAGTTTAAATACAAGACTTAGAATCTAAAATTAAGGATTGTTAAGAATACAAATATTTACAATAAAAGAATCTCTTTCTAAAAACTACATGTATTAAAATCCTTTAACGTATCAATTTTATTTATCATATTTTAAGTTGTTAAAATTATTTTACTCATCTAAAGTATAAACCTAAGGTTGATTGTAATAGGACTTATTTCACAGTAACTTAGTAATTTCTAGAATGTTACTTCCTATTATTAAGTCATAGTTATCCTAAGTTTGACAGTTGAGCGTAGGGTTAATAACAGACATTTTTCTATCAAAATAATCCATAAGAGTAACCAAAATATATTTTTTTAGATATGTATGTATTTTTGAAATATTAATAACTGTTTGTATCACTGAAAAATTATCTTTTGTTGAATGCAAGTTTCCCTTTATAAGATCAATCAACTTATTATAATGCATACTTTGATCATCTTTTTGATTAATAATTCTTATATTATAATATACATAAACAACTGTTTAGTATGACTTTCATGAGTTTCAGAAAGTTTAAATAAATCTGCAAAAGATTTTTTCTGATTCTGGTAAGTTATACTTAAATTTTTTATATAACGTAAATTAAGTTGAATAATTATATTGCTAAAATCAATGCTTTTTAGATTTTGAATTATGTGTTAATTATTATTATTATTAAATAGAATAACAGAAACTTGAGTGCTTTCATAAATATTATAATAAAATGAAAAATATTACTTATAGCAGTAGTGTTTAGTTGTCGTATAGTATGAATGTTATAGTAATCATTAATATTTAGAATAATTAAAAAACCTTTCTAATATAGAAGTATATGAAAAAACATTGTTAAGAAATCAAAAAAAGATCTGTAAAATAAAAGTTAGTCTATATAAAGATAAAAAATACATTTAGGAATATTACAGAAATAATAAAAACAATAAAAATATTACATATTAAATTATATAATCTTTAACAGTTTGTTGATGTGATTTTGCTAGTTAATGCTTTTGTCTTTGAACAGTTTCCCTTCTGATTCTGAGTTCAGCATTTATTAATGTTTCAATTACTGATGTAGAAGCTTCTGATGCATTTAATAAAAATCCTACATCTGTTTTTATGCTATTAGTAAATTTATTGTTAAGACCAGCTAAGAAATAGTATATTAAAATAAGTTTTTTTTTTATTTTGCTGATTTGTTATAAAATTTTTCTTCTGAGAATTCGTACTAGCAATTAGTTTATCAAAAAATCCTTGTAATTTTAATTCCTTCCTTTCTAGCATTTTTTTTGAATTCATCAGAATCATAAATTAGTTTTTCTCTATCATTACGCTATTTTTTATACAAAACACTAGATATTAAATAAATTTTCACTGAAAGATACAGAAAATTTTTATTATATACTTGATTTAACTCAATCAAGTTCTTTATAAACTTCATAAAATGCAGTTTCTAATTTCCCAAACTCTTTGGATGAATATAAGAGATTATTGCGAAAAGTATAATAATAATTAATATTTACAATTATTTTAGTAGTAGTAGCTGGTAATTAGAAGATAATTGATTTTTTTATTACGATCTATTGTAGTAAGATATGAGTTACAAATATGTGAATCAGAAGAAAGATTCAAAATAGGTTGAAGTCATTGTGAAATTTTTATAAGAACATTTTTTTGTAGTTATTCCTTTTTATTATTTTTTATATTTTCATTATATTTTAGATAAGCATATTGTTGCTTTTTTGCTGTACTTTTAATCAATAATTTTTATTCACTAATAACTTATTATAGTGATAATAACATAATTTTTTTCCAACTAAATTTATATCAAGATTTGTTTCTGGAATTTTCACTCTCTCTGTAATAAGAGTTATACTATTTGTAATATCATTACAAATGTCATTTTATAATAAACATTTATTAGTTTTTGATATCTATAACATATTTCTAAATATAGTCAATTAATATATTATATTTATATAAACAAATACATAAATTTTAATATTCTATACTTTTAGATTATTTTCTTAATAATGAATTATTTTGAGCAAATAATTTCTTTAAGTGATAAATAAAATAATATTAATATTACTATATTTCACATTTTTTAAGAAGTTTAGCATACTATAAATTTCAAATTATTTGTCTAATGCTCAAATTATTTTTGAGGTAATATAAAAAAATCTAAAAAACCAAATAATAAATTTGTTTTTATCATTAAATTTATTTTGACGCTATTAAATTAAAATAGTAATTTTATTATGTATTCAATCTTTGTGTAATATTTCTAATATATCTAATAATAATGCATATTTTTATATTAAGTAATTATGTAATTAAAAATTATGCGAAATAACAATGCCTAATTTGGATTTCCATTCTAATTTTAGTAGTTATTATATCACATTTTCTTAAAAATTCATTTTTATGAAAAGCAATATGAATGATTGGTAAAGTGATCAATATTATGATAAAATAGAGAGCTCGCTATGTTAATTTTAGCTAGAATAATAGTTATATAATATAAATTTCCTTTTTTAAAATTTCTTTATAATATTTAAAAGAATCAGAATTCTCCATAAAGTTACTCTATTAGAGCTAAAATTAACTATTTATTTAATGTTAAATGATAATTTTAATTAGTATTTTAAATCTGGTCTGAATTATTATTTGATCATATAACTATTCAATATATAAAATTATGATTAATATAAGTGAATTAGTTAAATTAAATTCAGATATAATATATAGTATTTTATTATAGAAATTCATTATATCCAGCATAATTAATTATAAAAAATTTATTCTGAAGATTTAGGTTCAATATAATAAGTTTTAGTACAAACAGATTCAGTATAATCAGTAATGATTATATAGTAATAATTAAAGATAATAATTAGTAATATTAGCAGTAGATATCTGATTGATATACAAAAACTATAATATTTAGAATTAAAAATATCTGCATTTATATCTATAAAAATAAAAATAAACTTACTTTGAAAAAGAAATAAATATTTGAAAAATTAAGTTATGAATATAATAAATTATATTATCTGTATAAACTACATAAAATTAAATTATACTTTTCTTAATAAGATGAAGGTGTTTTAAACATTACATTTTTAAATGAATTTTGATTTTGTAAAATTTATGAATTATAAAATATCCTTAAGGCAGTTAGCTAATTTTATTATATGATGTTAAAAATTTGAAAGCTTTGTATTTTTTATTGTTTATTATCATTATGCATAATGAATTATAATAATTATTCTCCTTCTTAAATTTATTGAATAATATCCTATATAATGCTTACATAAATTGGATTTCTTATGAGAGTTATCAATCTGATATAAAATTTGGTTAATATAATTTTAATAGTCTATAGATATAAAAAGTATTATATTTCATAGTTTTATAATACTGTAAAATATGTAAAAATTAGATTTCTTATACTTTTATAATATAGTCAAATAAATTGTCATATGATCATTTTATATATAGTAAATATCAGATAACAATAAAAATCCTTTTTTTATCTATTATTTATAATTTTCTATAGACCGTTCATTTTTTAAAGCTCAAATTTGACTGCGTAATTTCTTTTTTATTTTTGTGAATTTTCAAAATTTTTTCAATATACCTTAATGATCTTTTTAAATATTAGTCACAGTAATATATATTCAATTAAAATTGTATAAAACTTTTATTATCAATAAATAAAATATTTTAAATTTAACTTTAATTGTAAAAATATTTTAAACAATTGAGTTTTGATTTAATAATGTTATGCTGCAACTAGAGTACCAAGTTTGAGATTGAGGTAGATTTGTTGAGATAAAAAATTATTTCTTTTATAAAGATACTACTGCACTGTTATGTCTGAAATTAATTTTCTTCTGAAATTAGAATTTAGATCAAATTTTAATTTCAGATATATCTGAAATTGAACTTTAGATAGAATCTAAATTTTAGATAAAATTATGTATTTATAAATTAATATTAAAAAATACAATCAGACCTCTCTAAATGCATCCTCTATAAATGCATACCCTTTTTAAATGCACACAATGTTCTGGTCCTAAGCTTGGGACTTAGAGACTAAATACATCCTCTAAGTTCTGCACGTGCAAGAAATTTTTCTGTCCTTTGATATGACAATTCAATCTCTAAATGCACGTTACGTGACTATTTTATAAAATAATAGGACTGTTAAAATTTGATGTTTTTTTATTCATTAATTTAGTACGCATGCAGCTTTTTTTTCAGCCTTGATTCTTTAGCATCATTATAATCTTGCATGACTTGACGATCCTAAATTTCTTCAACCATTGGATCATTTAGAGGTGAGTCATGTGAAAAAAAAAATTTTAATATTTATTTTTTAAATCAATCAATGTAACTAACAACTAAAATCACTTACCTTTTGTAGCTATCGAATTCTT